GCCGCTGAGCCTGCGCGTCTGGAGCCTGTGCTCCGCAACGGGAGAGGCCGCAACAGTGAGAGGCCCGCGTACCTCAAAACAAACAAACAAACAAACAAATGCCCTGCCCTGGGGGACCCCAGCCTCCTGGAACCTCTGCCAGCCTGGAACTAACTGGACACTCAGATGGTAGATGTCCAGGCAGCGTGAAGCAGCCTCACAGAAGTGATTTCTCATCTGGGAACAGGGGAATCATGGTACCTGGGAGCTGGAGCTCGGGCTTTGGCCTGCCCGAAACAGCCTCCTCCTCCCCAGCCTCCCTGTCTCTGCCCTACTGTCTTCCCTGTCCCCCCGTGGCAGGCTGAAAGAGCATCTCAAAACAGGAGTCTATGTGGTGGTGACTGCTCTGCTGGAAGCTTCCCATGGCTCCCTGTCGCCTTTGTGTTAAATATCCATCATTGACCACAGCCGGACGCAGCTCAGCGTGGCGTGGTGACCTCATCTCCTGCTCCTGAATACTCAGCCTTCCTGGATTTCCTCCAATGCTGCCATTCCTTGCTGCCTCAGGGCCTTTGCACAGGCTGTCCCTTCTGCCTGGAAAGCTTTTTTTTTTTTAAAAAAAAAAAAAAAAAGCAGACATCTTTGTCTTTTTTGTTTTTTAATTTATTTATTTTATTTACTTTATTTTTGGCTGCATTGGGTCTCCATTGCTGCACGCGAGCTTTTTCTAGTTGCGGCGAGAGGGGGCCACTCCTCGTTGCGGTGTGGTGCTTGTCATAGCGGTGGCTTCTCCCGTTGCGGAGCTCTGGTTCTAGGCACGCAGGCTTCCGTAGTTGTGGCTCGCGGGCTCTAGAGCGCAGGCTCAGCAGTTGTGGCGCACGGGCTTAGTTGCTCTGTGGCATGTGGGATCTTCCCGGACTAGGGCTTAGAACCCGTGTCCCCTGTGTTGGCAGGCAGACTCTCAACCACTGCGCCACCAGGGAAGCCCCTGCCTGGAAAGCTCTTGCATCCTCCTTTTTACTTAGAGAATTCTTACGGGGCTTTAGCTCTCAGCTCACACATCCGGGAAGTCCAGACCAGGCCACAGCCTCCTTTTTTGCAATTTATAATTTATGTTTGTTTACAAGTTTCCTTATGGGTTATCTGTCTCACCCACTTGCTTCGTGCAATATCCCTGGGGCCCAACATGTAGCAGGTGCACAAGAAATGTTTGCTGACTGAGACGGAAGAGGGGGTGGTATCTGCTGGAAGGGAAAGTGAGAAGCTTGAAATTCTGCTCACTTGCCCCTCCCCATCCTCCATGGAACCCCTGGTGCCCCCACGGAAACCACTTCGAGAACCAGCGGTTTGGGTCAGCCCTTTTCCCTTTACGGATGGGTCAACTTTACGCCCAAAGCCATGCGTGCTTTGAGGCCACAGGGGAGGCCAGGGCGGTGACTCTAGTCCCCAACTTACTCCACCCCCTCCCTCATCAGGTCTTACGGTGGAGATTAGCAGAGTCCCACCTTTGCTTTTAGATGATGACCCGGCTCATGGGACAGGACACCCTGTGTCATCTGATGGCAGTTGTGGTGGTGTTGGGCAGTGCTGTGCTGCATCTATAAATAAGTCCATTTCCTTCTCCTCCCTGGTGTTGCCTCATCCACACCCTGGGTGACAAGCTGTGACTCGGCCCTAAACTTCCTAGTCAGCTGCTTGCCGTCCTGCACAGTGTCCATCCAGGTAAGGCCTCCTGGGGGAAATGTCCCCTCTCCCAGGAGGCATCGTTGCCCCCTGGGAAGGGCCTGCAGCCTGCTCTCCCCGGGGTCTTTCTGGGTACCAGGTGCGCCAGAGGTCTAGCAGGTGTGGGAAGTTCTGATTGATTTGCCAAACCAGGAGGAGCAGCATTTCTCTCCCGGTCTGTCTCTGTCTGTCTCTCTCTCCCTGGCAAAGCTCTGGATTAGAACCCCCACTGCTTCCTGGCCCCCATCAGCAACACAGAGCCCTTCCTCCTTCCCACCCTGTCCCGTGGGAGGAGGACCTGAGATGCAGGGGAACAGGGGGGATTTTGTTTTGTTTTGTTTTTCTCATCTTTGCGGTGTCGCAGCATCATGGTATTTTTCAGTTCCTTTCTAGGAAAAAAATATCTCCGGTTCCACTTGGGTGGGATCTCAGCCCCCGGCCTCCCACAGCCCCGTTCCTGGATCCTCGCTTCTCAAGGTCCCTGCCAAGGGCCTCCATGCCTCCTAGGAGGAGCCACCATAAACCCAGGACAAACAAACTATATCCATCTTAAGTACATTTCCGCATATTAACCTTCTGTGCATGGCCAAAATCCCTGGCGGCGCAAAGTAGCTTGTGGTCAGAGTTCAGCCTCCATCCCACTCCTGCTTGGCGCTGTCTCCCCAAAGGCCTGTCTTTTGGGTCTCTTTCCAGAAACTTTGGCATGAACGTGTAATTCCAAATCGCGCTCCCTTTTCATCACACAAGGCCACCTGCCAGCTTCTCCCTTCTGCATTCGGAGGGTTACGCCAGCTCTGCCCAGTAGAAGGAGCCCGCCAGCCATCAGGGTCTTTTTATTTTTATTTCTTTATTTAAAAAATTATTTATTTTATTTATTTATTTTTGGCTCTGTTGGGTCTTCGTTGCTGCACACAGGCTTTCTCTAGTTGCGGCGAGCGGGGGCTACTCCTCGTTGAGGTACGTGGGCTTCTCGTTGCAGTGGCTTCTTTTGTTTCGGAGCGTGGGCTCTAGGCGCGGGGGCTTCAGTAGTTGTGGCGCACGGGTTCAGTAGTTGTGGCTTGCGGGCTCTAGAGCGCAGGCTCAGTAGTTGTGGTGCACAACTACTTAGTTGCTCTGCGGCATGTGGGATCTTCCCAGACCAGGGCTCGAACCCATGTCCGCTGCATTGGCAGGTGGATGCTTAACCACTGTGCCACCAGGGAAGCCCTATTTTTTAATTTTTAATTTTATTTTTTGGCCACACCGTGCAGCATGCAGGAGCTTAGTTCCCCAACCAGGGATTGAACCTGTGCCGAGGGCGCGGAGTCTTAACCACTGGACTGCCAGGGAAGTCCCACATTATTTTTTTAAACTGTGGCAGAATATATGAGACACAAAATTTGACATTTTAACCATTTTTAAGGGTGCAGTTCAGTAGCATTAAGTATATTCCCAATGGTGTGCAACCACTGCCAATATTTCCAAAAATTTTTCATCACCCCAAATAGAAACTTGATACCCCAGCAAGCAAAAACTCATTCTCCTTCCAACCCTCCCAGCCCCTGGTAACCTCTAATCTACTGTCTGTCTCTATGAATTTACCTATTCTAGATATTTCATAGAAGCAAGATCATATAATATGTGTCCTTTTGCATCTGGCTTATTTCACTGAGCCTCATGTCCTCAAGGTTCATCCATGGTATAGCGTGTGTCAGAATCTCTTTCCTTATTAAGGCTGAATAATGTTCCATTGTATGCATGGACCACATTTGTTTATACGCTCATCCTTTGATGGACATCTGGGTTGTTTCCAACTTTTGGCTATTGTGAATCACGTTTCTATGAGCATGGATATACAAATATCTCTTAGAGTTCCTGCTTTTCAGTTCCATTTGGGTAGATATCTAGGAGTGGAATTGCTGGGTGATATGGAATTATGTGTTCAGCCTTCTGAGGAACCACCAAACTGATTTCTGCCACATATGTAATTTTCAACTTTTTACCAGACACATTAAAAAGAATAGAAAGGTACCAGTAAAATTAATTTTAATGCTATATCTTATTTCACCCCATACATCCAAAGCATTATCTCAATATGTAATCGACATAGAAAATTACTAATGAGACACTTTACATAGGATATTTTACATTCTTTCTTTCATATGAAATCTTGGCAATCTGGCGTGTATTTTACTCTTTACGGCCGTTTCTATTTGGATGCTAAATTTTCAACGGCTGGAGTGAAAGGGTAGTGTTTAATTAAAAAAAAACTTGTTTTACGTTGTTCAGTTTTTAAATTTACATTTGAAATTTACTGACATTCACCATTTCTGTTCCTCTGTTGCATTAGCCACATGGGGCTAGTGGCCCCCATATTGGATGGTGCAGATTTAGACCCAGCTACTTAATTCTGGAACCTGTTTTTTTCATCAGGCAGACATGGATTTACCATGAAGTGGATGAAGCTTAAGCTTCAGGGACCCCTAAATAAAGATTACTTTCTGTATCTAAGTCTGGACTCAGTTTTCTTTGCCGTTTCTTGGAGAGGCTCCCAAAATATGGAAGTTCAGCTTCCAGAAAACCTGGATCCACTCTGCAGAGCTGTGCCAATACAGTGGCTTTATTCATTTTTTAAAAAATTTTATGTTAATTTCATTGGAGTATAGTTGATTTGCAAAGTTGTGTTAGTTTCAGGTGTACAGCAAAGTGATTCCGTTATACATATACATGTATCCATTCTTTTTCAGATTCTTCTCTCATATAGGTTATCACGGAACATTGAGTAGAGTTCCCGGCGCTCTACGGTAGGTCCTTGTTGGTTGTCGATCTCACATATAGTAGTGTGTGTGTTCATCCCAAGCTCCTGATGTATCCCTCCCCACCACGTTTCCCCTTTGGTAACCAGAAGTTTGTTTTCAGTATCTGTAAGTCTATTTCTAGTTTGCAAATATGTTCATCTGTATCATTTTTAATTAGATTCCACATATAAGTGATATCATATGGTATTTGTCTTTCTCTTTCTGACTTACTTCACTTAGTATGATAATCTCTAGGTCCATCCATGTTGCTGCAAATGGCATTATTTCATTCTCTTTCATGGCTGAGTAATATTCCATTGTATATATGTACCACATCTTCTTCATCCATTCCTCTGTGAATGGATATTTAGGTTGCTTCCATGTCTTGGCTATTGTAAATAGTACTGCAGTGAACACTGGGGTGCATGTATCTTTTCAGATTATGGTTTTCTCCTGATATATGCCCAGGAGTGGGATTGCTGGATCATATGGTAGTTCTATTTTAAGTTTTTTCAGACAAAGATACCCTAATACCAAAACCAGGCTTTTATTCATTTTTCACAACTGCATAGTATTCCGTTGTCAGAAGGGACCGTAATTCGACCAGTCCCACATCAATGGACAGGTAGCTTATCCAAAACACCCTTGTTTTGTTGGCACGTCTGTGGGCATTTGCACCAATCCCTCTGGCCAGAGGGTGAGTGCATTTCAAATAATGAGTCATTATCCCTCATTTCCCTTTCTTAGAAATTCTAGAGCAGCACATGCTGTCCAGTAGAAACAGAACACAAGCCACACGTGTAATTAATATTTTTCTAGTAGCCACGACTTTAAAAATGTAAAAGACGCAGGTGAAATTAATTTTAATAATATGCTTTCTTTAACCCAACAGATCCAAAGTAGTATTATTTAAATGTGTAATGAACAGAGGAAGTATTGAGATAATTTTACTGTCTCGTTCTCGTCCTAAGTCTTAGAAACCAGGGTGTATTTTACACCCCCAGCACACCTAATTCGGACACTCAGTTTTCGTCGTAGATCCTTGATCTGTAATTAGACTCCGTAAAAATGTCTCGTTGGAGCAGATTTGCCCTTCCAGGAGGTCCCAAATGTACTGTCAAGTTTTTCCAATCATTGAATTGGCTATCAGAGGCTGTTTTTGGCTTTGCCTTTACTTTTTATCTTGAAGTTGTCTTCGATTTACAGAAGAGAGAACCTTTTTTAAATTTAATTTAGCATTAAAAACTCTGTGCAACACAACAGCTGCATTTCAAGGACTCAAGAGCCATAGGGGTGCACGCGATGGTGCAGATATAGAACATTTCCACGATAGCAGAAAGTTCTAGTGGACAGTGCCAGGCTGTAGATCAGAGCTCCACCTGCAAAGAGGGAGAGGAGTTTGGAATTACATTGAGAGGAGAGAGTTTGGATTCTGGATCGTAAGGGCTGTAGCTGTGTGTATTTGGGCACGAGACATATCTATCGCTCAGAACCTCCGTTTTCTTATCTGTAAACTGGGTGTCTCCAGGGCCGCAGGAAGTGGAGAGGGGCAGGGCCGAAGTCCTAGATTCCACTCTGGTGGTTGGGGTTTGGAGTCTGGGAGGACTTTGTGACCGCCTGCAGGGACGGAAAGGACTGGGGAGTGGAAAGACATCGGCCAGGCCAAGAGGCCGCCCAGGATCCCCCAGTGCGGGACCAGGGGGGCCATCTTTGGACGCTTATTCCCTGAGCACTTCCTGTGCTCTCCCCATAAACTTGTCAGGCTCTCCATCACCTCCGGACCTTTGCGTTGGCTGTTTCGTCCACCAGGAATGCCCTTTCCCCCAACTCCTACACTACCTGGTGAGCCCTCAGATAACCTTCCAACGTAATCACATTGTACCCCTCCCAGGCAGAGCCCTGGCTCCAAGCCTCAGCTCCAGGGCACTGGGGAGCATCTTGTAACCAGCTCTGTCTTCTCCCTAGGCCGGGAAAGACTCTGGGAAAGCTGGGAAAGGGCAGGGTCAAGGTCAAGGTGGGACCTGAGAGCCATCGGAACCTATCCCAGGTCCAGAGATCACGTGGCCTAGTGGGTAGGAATAAGTGGACTCTGAAGCTAGGTGCTTTTTGCTGGAATTACAGTTCTGCCGTTTTCTTGCATTGAGTCCTTGGCCTCAGTTTTCTCGTCTGTAAAATAGGGATGAGAACAGTGCCTCCTACCTCAGGACTCGTAAAGATGAACTTGGGTAACCTGCGTCTGCCCGCTAGGCATGTGTTATTATTTTTGTTAGCAGTGATGCTGTGTTCACTGTCCCGTCCTCCCAGCTCCTCTCTGACCCATGGATCCACCTGGCTGGGCCAAGATAAAATGTTCCTGGCACCACTGTCTCCCCGGGCTGTTGCTGCAGCTGCTTCTGGCTCCGTGCTTCTCCTCCTACCTGCGTGTGTCCCGAGGCAAGCCCACATGGGTCCCCGAATTGGGGGCCCCCTCCCAGGCCACTGCAGGGCCCTCCACCTGCCCGCCTCTGCGTCTCCTGCTGTGGACGTGGCTATTCAACACCCCAGTAGCTCTGTCCCACTGCTCCGAGATGTGGCCCGGCACAGCCGACTGCCACCTGTCAACCACAGCGAGTACCCTCGGGCGGATGCGGTCCTTGTGCGTCACCGAAAGGTCAGCTCCGGGCCTAAGGCACAGCTCACGCCTTCCCTGCGGCCCCCCCCCCGCCAGCTAGCGCTGGGTCTGGTTCAGCATGGAATCGCCCAGCAACTGCCCCAAACCGAAGGCCCTGGACGGATACTTCATCCTCACTGTGTCCTACCGCCAGGACTCAGATATCTTCACGCCATACAGCTAGCTTGAGCCATGGCCTGGCCAGCCTGTGGACACACTGGTGAACGTCTCGGCCAAGACCAAGCTGGTGGCCTGGGTGGTGGCCAACTGGAGGGCGGACTCGGTCAGGGTACAGTACTAGCAGAAGCTGCAGACTCACCTCCAAATGGATGTGTATGGATGCTCCCACATGCCACTGCCCCAGGAGGTCATGACCAACAGGCTGTCCCAGTACAAGTTTTACCTGGCTTTCAAGAACTCCTTGCACCCTGACTATATCCCAGAGAAGCTGTGGAGGAACGCCCTGCAGGCCTGGGCAGTGCCAGTGGTGCTGGGCCCCAGCAGGAGGAACTATGAACAGTTCCTGCCACCCAAAGCCTTTATCCACGTCGAAGACTTTCAGAGCCCCAAGGACTTGACCCATTATCTGCTGGCGCTGGTCAAGGACCACACCCTCTACCCGAGCTGCTTCCGCTGGCGGGAGACGCTGCAGCCCAGATCCTTCAGCTGGGGCTTGATGTTCTGTAAGGCCTGCTAGCGGCTGCAACAGAATCCCAACTACCAGACGGTGCCCAGTATCACGTCTTGGTTCATGTGAGCCAGCCAGCCTGGGGCCTGGGCTGCTGGGCATCTGGGGACCTTGGTAGGTGGAGCGCTCCCTTACCTGGGGCTTCCCCTACTGGGCACCTCTGCTGCCAGGAATGTTGCTTCCGTGGGACCTCGCTTGCTAGGAGCTTCATCTGCTGGGGGCGGGGGTGTCATCTACCAGGGGCTGTGGCTGCTGGGCACCCACCAAGACACCCCCTGGGGAACTAGCCTTGGTGCCCCGCCCACTGGTGATGGCTCTGGTGGATTGGCTTGTGAGTACTGCTGCTTTGTCAATGAACCGCCTCGGCGGTATGCAGGTTGGCAATACTGACACCATTTTCGAGATGGGAATGCTCTGAGGACACTGGTGTGTCCTCCCTTACTCCAGATCAGCGGTTCTCACTCCAGGACGATTCTGCTCCCAGGGGACAATTGGAGTGTCTGGGGACATCTGTGGTTGTCACAACCTGGGGGTGGGCTGATAGCATCAAGTGGGAGGGGGCCAGAAATGCTGCCCAACAGCCTACAGTGCCCGGGAGACTGGGGCGCAGAGGGGGTGGGACTGGGGGCGGGGCTGTCTGGGGGTCCACGTGGGGCAGGGCTGGGACAAGGGGACGTTCTACACCTAGCGCAAGGATAGAGGAGGGGCAGGAACTGCCCCCAAAGGAGGGCAAGGGGAGAGGGTGTGACGCGGCGCATGTGACTGTGAGAGCGGGTGTGACAGGGGATGACCACGTGGGGCTTGGAGTGTGGGTGGGCGTGGCCGTGTGTGACTGAACAGGCGGCCCCTGTGTTCTTGCAGGTGACCTTGAGGACGCCCCTCTCTGCGTGTGCCTGACCACTGAGCATGTAAGCATGTGGACTGTGGGTCTGCGTGTGATCCTAAGCCCTGTGTGGGTGGCAGTCTCTGTGCCCTGTGTGAGTGTGTGAATATGTGTGTGTGTGTGTGTATGTGTGTGTGTGGCGCGCACTGCTGAGAACCCCAGCCTTGGGGTCTGCGGGGGCAGCTCTGTTTACGTTCCAATTCTCTGGTGGGCTGGGCCAGTGCCCTGTGGTTGGATCTGGGTGGGAGATGGGAAGGCTGAAGTCCCAGGAGGCTGCGCGTGCGTGCGCGCACACACACACACACTCACACTCACACCAAGGCAGCCAAGCTTCAGGGACCACAGACCCGGGCTCCAAGGCCAATTTTCCTGCTGTGTGTCCTGGGCTGAGCAACTTCCCTCTCTGAGGCTCAGGGCCTTCTAGGATGAGGAAACTGAGGCTCAGCTTCCCCAGCGTCTGGGAACTCTGGCTTCTCTGCATGGCTGGGCTGAGTCAGCCCAAACAGTGTAGGAATCCACCACCCCAAACCTCAGAGTCAGAAGATTGCGGGGATGGGTGGGGGCCCCAGCCAGTCAGCCTGTTCTGAAGTTGCCTTCCAAGCAGGCCACCCACGGTTTGGGACCTGGCCTCCAAGCCCTGCTCTCGGAGCTCCCTGGAAGTCCTGCCTGTTAGCTGACTCCAGTGTCTCCAGCTGCAGCCTGGGGGCGTGGCGGGTGCTGGGGAGCAGGGAGCTGGGGGTGTTCCTGCCTGGCTGGGTGAGACTCCCTGGGGGCAGCTTCTGATTTGAGTCCTCCAGCTTCAGGATGGGGGTTGGGTCTGGGAAGGCCAGAGCGCAGATGTGTGGGAAAAGGGGGCAGAGGGCCAGTGTAGGAGACACAGCAGTAAAGGAGGGAAGGGTCTGTTCTCTGAGAGCCCCGGTCTGGGGTGGAGGCAGGGAAGGGGAGAGACGACTATGCCCTAGGGAAAGCTGTATGGGAAGGGGGAGTGGCGCCTTCGAGACCCCCCCCCCAGTCTGAGGGGAAGAAGGGGAGGGGTCCACGTCATCTGGTCTCCCGGGTGCCAGCTCCGTGCTGGGAGCACCCACTCTCTTCCCCGCCCCTCCTCAGCCCGTGCAACCTGCCGACCCCTCCCCGCCAGTTGGGAACCCAATTCCCCGGTGCAGCCCTGGGCTTGCCAAGCATCAAGGTGACACCACGGGCAAATCTAAACACCGCACCGTACTTTTTCCATCCTCCACAGGGGCTTGTCGTAAATTCTCCCTCGGGCTCCGGCCAGAGCTTTTATGGCCCCAGGACCTAGGTCCCTGAGGACCCGGCTCTGCCGCAGCAGGCGCCGGTTTCGGGCTGGATGGGGTTGGCGCCCGCCCCAGACCTATCCCCGCAGGGAGATGGGCAGCGAGCTATATTTTTAGCTAGTGAAAGGAGATAGTGGCTCCGAGTTCACCCTGGTGAGAGCTGCCCAGGCCCGAGGAGGCCTGTTGGGTGAGGGAGACCTGGTTCACCTGGACCTCAGTCTTCTCATCTGCACTGTATTTACACCTTCCCTCCCCAGAAGGACACCTTGCAGGGAGGCGGGGAGGGAAGGGGCACGGGGACCTGTAGAGAGGTGGGAGAGAAGGTCCCTGCCGACATCCCCCCATTCACCCCACTTTCCTTTTTGTACCCCGGAAACAAGACCCTCTTTGCATCTACTTTCCTCTTACCCCTAAGCAAATGGAATCCTTCCACCATCCTGCAGGTGGTACCCGCACCAGTCCCCCTTTTCCCAATGGAGATGGCGCCTCCTCCCCGTACGCCCTCATGCCCCTCCGAGATGTGGGCACCCCCCCCCCCGAGCGCGTAATCACAACCGGGGCTCGATTTTCCACACTTTATCTTGGTACAGTTATCGCGAGAGTCCTGAGCTCTCGACGGCATTTTCTGTGCATGGGCAGTCTGTCGCGGGGCTTGCCAGGCGGGACGGTGGGTGCCGTAGGGGCGGGGGGCGTGGCCGCCGTCTCGCCAGGCTCGGTGAGGTAGGGTCACACGCAGGCGCACTCGCGCGCCGACAGCTCGTGGACCGTGTGGTAGCGACTGTGTGTGTCCAGGAAGGACACCTCGTCCTCGTAGGCCGTCGGGCGGCAGCAGGGCTGCGCTCGCACCCGCTCTCGCCGCACTCGCCGCCGCTGGCGCAGGCGCCGCAGTCCCAGGTCGTAGACGCGCGCGGCCGCCTCGCACGCGCCTGCGCAGTAGCGGAACAGCACCGTCTCGTCCGACGCGTAGCCCAGGCCCAGCTCGCTCACGCGCACCTCGAGCTCGCGCAGCCCGCACGGCCGGGTCCCCGACCGCGCACGCGCGCGCCGCCGCCGGGACCCCGCCCGACGGCGCGGACCCGGGGACCTCCCGGCCCAGGGCGTCAGTTCGCGAAGCTCCACCGCGTCCGGGGCGCCCTGCAGCAGTGCACGGTCTGCGAGGGGATGGAGAGAATGGGGTGAGGGTCAGTGGGTGGGTGGGTGGCAAGGAGCCCCCTACCCTCGCTGTTCCCTGAGAAAAAGGACCCTTGTGGAGACTCAGAGGTGCTAGTGCACCCTCTCCCGACCACTTATCTTGCTACAGGATTCCCGCTTATGCACCCTCTCTGGGCGGTGTCGGGGGGTGCATATCCACACCTGCACGCTGGGTCCCCAGGGCTACTGACACCCTTCTCTGGACCCTGTACCTACGATGGACTGCTCAGAACCTGGCACATACTGTACCACATTCCAGCCTGCCCCACCTTGAGCTGAGCTGACTCGAGTGTCTGTCTTCCTCTGGACACCCCCTGCCCCCAGCACTCTCTGTGGACCCCATCCCTATGCAGAGCAGCATGGGATTTTGCCCCTTTTCACTGAGCTGCTCTCACCTCATTGAAGAAAAGGGAGGGCTCAGCAGGGCGTGTGGTGATCCAAATCCCTGTTTCTACTCAGCCCCAGCTGCCCCCACCCCTATGCTGGGCCATCCCCATGTTACAGGTGAGGAAACTGGGCATCCAAAGGGGAAAAGATGTGCCTGAGGCAGGTGCAAGTGGCAGAGAGAGAGAAGCCCAAACAGCAGTTTTGCTTCCATCGTGTGCCCAGGTTTGGCCCAAGTCCAGCCCTCTTCTCCCACAGCTGCTCGTGCCTGGAGCCATAGATCCCCAGGACCCCACAGTCTACATTTATTTCCCAAGTGGCTGCCCCTGCCGCAGTACTCCTCAGCCCCAGGAGATAAGTGCAGACGTTGCAGTGGCAGGCAGTGTTGATAGTGGGTCTGCAGGCAGGGGGCTCCCAGCCCCTGAGCAGGTGGCAGTCACACTTGAAGTTGGGAGAGGAAATCCTGAGTTTAGCCCGCACCTGCCCCCAAGGCTGGCGCACCTGGCTGTCAAGAGAAATAGCTTCCTGGGAGGTCCGAGGGGGAAGGGCTGTCTGTCACCCTGGGCGTGTGTCTGTTCCCACAGGGGGTCTCAGAAAGCTGACAAGCCCAGGTTCGGAGCCTTGCTCTGCCACTGTCAGCCTTGTAGTTTCAGGCAGGTGATGGCCCTGTTCTGTGCCCCAGTTTCCTTATTTGCTCAATGAGACTTGCAGAGTCCCCACTTTGACTGGGACTGGGAGGGTGGAAAGGGGTGGGGGTGGGGGGGCACCGAGCAGCATCTTTTGAGTTCTTGATGCCCAGGGGCAGGAGCAGGGTGGCCGGCACTGCCTGCTCTGGGGTTAGGTGGAACCTGGCTCACTTCTGATGCCTAAAATTCCACCATTTAGTGTGCCCACCCCAAAGGTGTGTATCTAGAGAGTTAATTCAAGGGATTGCTGGTTAAGATCCAGATGCCAGATGCCCAGCTAAATGTGAATTTCAAGTAAACAATGTATAATCTTCTAGTATATTATCTGTCCCTGACTTCCTCCAGCAGGCCTGGCCACGTGCACAGGGTCTGGAACACAAAGAGATGAGGTCCACACCCCCCTGGCCCAAGCCTGAAATTCCACCATCAGCGCATTAGTCCCAGGGCCTAGAACATTGGGACTTCAGGGGATTGGGAGCCACTCCCTTCCCCCAGTAGGGCTGGTTCCCGGGACAGGATGCCAGGCAGGCAGGACCCAACCGTGGGCTGAGATCCTCCCCGGTGCCTGAAATTCCACCACGGGTGCTTTGCCCCCCGGGCCTGGGGCACTAGCTTTGGGGGGCACCCCCCGGGTCTCTGGGACTCAGTGTCCTGGGAAGGACTTTGCCGCCTGTAGGGGGGAGCGGCAGGGGCGGAAGTGGAGCCTGCGCCTGAGGCCACCCTTGTCCATTGTGAGGACAAGAAAGAAGGATTGTGTAGGCCGGCAGGGCGGGTGCGGACGTGCACGCAACCCCTACCCACTGGGGGCCACGCCCGCGCCCCGCCCGCGCGGGTGCATATGTGGATGAGCGCGCAAGAAGTCGAGGCCCACGCACCGCCATGGCCCCACAGAATCTGCAGAGCGCAGGCGCCAGGGGCGAGTGGGTAGCTGGGCCGTGGCAGCCACGCCCGCCGGGGTGGGCGTTTCCATTTTTATACCTCCCAGCTTCTTCCCACGTCGTTCTCTCCCATCCTTCTCTCTTTCTGTGCCTCTCTGTTTCTGTGTCTCTCCCCATTTCTAGGACTCTTCCTATTTCTAGGGGTCTCTCTGTCTCCCCCTCCCCTTGGTCCCTGTCCACCCTGGGAGGTCACTAGGGCCTGGGTTCGGCCTCCCTCTCCCTCCACCCCCGCGCTGCGCTGCAGTGGCCGCC